GGTAAATCCTATTGGATCTATTATGTATTGCGCCGTTGTCTTGGCGAGGAGCAATTGATTGCATTGTATCGAGGTGGCGTTCTATATTTATTCGACGACAGTGGTGTCCAGATCATTCAACCCGAAAAGTATCAAACTGTTAAAGAATACACATGGTGCTTAGTGGATTCGATCCATGCCAATGAATCGTTTCCGACCTCAATGTTTGATATTTACGTGCATCTTTTGGTAATTTCTCCAGTCAGCCAACACTGCAGAAATCGACCCCAAATATTCAGGGACTATCTCTCGCTGCTTCTCCAACAAAGATTATTGAATACGACTCTTCTGGGGTACTTGAGATTGAGGAGCTGGTATACTATGTGCCACGGTCGGATAATCAGGTTGCGATCGACTCATTCCTTGTCCACGACGGAAACCTGTATTTGTTCCAGTTTGCAGGAGGCTCAAAGCATGGCATCATTCAAGGACTTCAAGATTTTCTGCAGCGCCTTTCCCCACCATTCCCCCCTTCAAAGCAACATTTCATCTTTGTTGTCCCCGAAAACCTAAAATTTTTTAGCTGCCAACACTCCACAGAAGGGTTTTTGCAGATTCATGCCCCATATATAGCGAAGGTATCAGTAGAATCCACAGCCGACAAGGTTTGAGCATCCGCTCGTACTCCAACCGGTGCTGTTTGTGACGGCATCATTTTTAATTAGCCTCAAATCCATAACTTGCTCATTCCTCTGTAACCCATAACTAAGCCTTAACAAGCTCCAGTGTTGTACACACCCAAAACAAGGAGGTAGAAACCAGACTTGGCCGAGCGTGTCCCATAGTGCAGTCATTCTGTCTGTGCATTCACGGCTTAGAGTACGGATTATGTGGGGATTCAACTATCATTACACAGGCTTCAACTTCTTCCATTACATTACACTATCCCTTTCGGAGTTGAATCCACACCCGTCGACAAGAGCCGTGGTAGCTCAGCGGGAGAGCACCCACCTAGAGTATGGGCGTCCCGGGTTCGATCCCCGGTCACGACACTTTTGATTCCTTTAATCCCGTTCCATGGCCAAGACGGATCGACAGAGCGCTCAGAACTAGTCCAGCCAGCCACCTAGCAGCCGGTCGCCACAGCTTCCAGGCAGTCTTTACAGCATGGCAAATAGCTACACCACTGCCCGAATGGCCATATAAATTCTTCATCATCATACCATAGGCAGGTATAAAGCACCCAGGAAATTTATGAGCAGGATGACCTCCTGACAGCTCCGACCCTTCCCCAGCCGTAAGCAACAAGCTATGAACGGTACGGTCCGGCGAATACTAAACATGTTAATTGCAGACCTTGTCGAAAGCTTTCCGGCGGGAGAATTTCACGCTCTCTTGAGAGGTGTGGCAAAGGTGGTCAACGGTGGTTGGGGTACTGAGGTTCACGTAGTACTCGGCCGCCTAGCCTATTAGGCCATTTATCATCGTACGATTAACATTAAAATCATGAATGCTTTGGAAATTTACAACATACCCTATAATGTAACTTTCTTAGGAATGATTCCTTTTTTCATGTTTTTTTGTGATGTGTGGTGGTCAAGATTTTGACGAGTCTTGATTCACCGTCTACCCGGCCAGCCGAATTTTCCTTTAAACCAGGTCATATCGACGAATTCGCTGGGCTATACGATATAAATGATGTTATTACGTTGCTTAGATGGCATATAATAACTACAAAAGCCCTTCGTATGTAGATATAGCCCGTCTGTTGGACCCGGGCATTCTGCCGGCCAACCGTCAACTATACCATATAAACCATATGGTGATGGGATAAAGCTGATCTTAAAATTGAGATTTAATTCATATGAGATACATCAAATTTTTATAGAGTACGAAGAGGCATAGTTAGCTTTGAAATGCAAGTGGCCGACTAGGGGGTATGGCCGACTAGGCCGTGAACCTCAGTAGCTTGGATCCAACGACCAGTGGCGCATCATGTCGAGCACCCAGTACAAGTTCTCCTGTTTCATTCCAGGGATGAAACAGCCATTTCCGGTCAGGATATCAAAGACAATGGAAGTGGGTGACTTGAAGAAAAAGATACTGGAGGAAAATCATAACACCCTGGCTGGTATCGACGCCCCTCAGCTTATTTTATACCGGGTCAAACTTCCTGATGATTCCGATTTGGCGAAGAATGTACAAGAATATATGTCAACGAACCCAGACCCAGCCCAGTCCTCAACAGAGTTGCACGAAATCTACCCGTCCATCCCTCCAAAAAGGACGGTGCACTTCATCGTTCAACTTCCTCCAGGTAGACAGCTCGTCTATATAGCTATCTTGAATAGATTCACTGACAATTATGCCATGAATCATCCACATTACAGATAAAGGTATGTCA